AGTTCCAGGGGAATCCAACACCCTCTTCTGACCTTTGAGGCATTGCACAACACAGGTGCACTCATATACATGCAGGCAATACACTCACACATAAAATAAAAATATTAAATATATTTTTTTAAAAAGACAGAAACCGCCGGATGTGTGTGGTTGGCGCACGCCTTTAATCCAAGCACTCAGGAGGCAGAGGCAGGCAGATCTCCTTGAGTTTGAGGCCAGCCTGGTCGACATAGCGAGTTCCAGGACAGCTGGGGCTACAAGGAGACCCTGTCTCAAAAAGACAAAAAAAAAAACAAAAAAAAAACAAAAAACCAAACAAACCAGAAACCAGATTGAGACCTCTGCCCAGTGTTTTCATGTACTTGTCACCATCCAAGAAAGAATTTAGCAAAGAGATAAAATAAGGGGTTGGGAGGAAGTTTATTACTATACTGGGCAAAGGTAAACATTCAAGAGGGAAATAGTCATCTCATGTCCCTGGGTTTTCATGTGGCTCATTTTAAGGCTAAACTTTAATGGATGGGAAGATTATTTTCTAGTTAAGACAGGGGGAAGGTGGAGAATTCTAGGAATGTGTTGGAATTTGCCCCAGAATAGGGTTTACTCCCCTTTTCTGTCCTAAAATGAGGTTTTCAGATATGGTGTGGCATCAGGTGCATGATGGGAGCAGGCAATCTTGCCAGGCTGATAAAATGGAGATGTTAATAACGAAGCAAAGGACAGTTAAGCCAGTGGTCAATCATGATTGGTCCTAGCAGGTTTTTGATGGTCACATGTTATCCTGCTCTCTGGCCACCTTGCAATTAGCCTCTTTCCTTTCCCTCATGGCTATCTTTTATTTTATTTTTTGGTCTTTTAGAGACAGGGTCTCCTTGTAGCCCCAGCTCACCTGGAACTTTCTATGTAGACCAGGCTGGCCTTGAACTCACAAATATCCATCTGCCTCTGTCTCCCAGGTGCTGGGATTAAAGGCATGTGCCTTTTTTTTTTCTTTCTTTTTTTAAATTAAAACAAAATTTTATTATTTTCATTTTGTGTATATGAGTGTTTTGGCTGCGTGTATGTAAATGTACCATGTGTGTGCAATGCTCTGCAGAAGCCAGAAGTGGGTGTTGGATCCCCAGGAACTGGAGTTACAAACGGTTGTTAGCTGCCATGTGGGTGCTGGGAATCAAACCCAGGTCCCCTGGAAGAACAATTGTTCTTATCTGCTGAGTCATCTTTCCAGCCCCTCCCTTATGGCTATCTGGTGTATCTCAGTCAACTTACAAGTTTTTACCTTTATGGTAGTTCAAATGTATAGCTAGGGCTGAGGGAGTGGCACAGGGCTCCAGCACTTGCCTAACATGGGCGCAACCCTGGATTCTATCCCCAGCACGTGAAAAAGGAGAAACAAAATTTAAAAAAGAGACAATGAGAAAGAGAACTAGGAGAGATGGCTCATGCCTGTAATCACAATACTTATAAGGCAGAAGTAGGATTGCCATGAGTTTGAGGCCTTCCTGGTCTACATATAATGCATAGTAACACCAGAGAGAGAAAGACAAAGAAAATTAAACTGAAAAAAAGGTAGGCATACCAATATTACCACTCTGCTTTTTTTTTTTTTTTTTTTTTCCGGTCTTTTTGAGACAGGGTCTCCCTGTAGCCCCAGCCAATTTGGAACTCATTATGTAGACTATGATGGCCTCAAATACACAGAGATCTGCCTACCTTTGTCTACTGAGTTCTGGGATTAAAGGCGTGCACCACCATGCCCAGCTCAACTTTAATTTTTTAAGTTTTAGTTTTGTTTTTATTTATGTGTATGTATATGTGTCTGTGAGTATATTCCACAAGTGTGCTGATGCCCAAAGAGACTAGAAGACTGTGTCAGATCCCCTGAACCCGGAGTTACAGGCAGTTATAAACCACCTAATATGGGTGCTGGGAACTAAACTCAGGTCCTCTGGAAGAGCAGCAAGTACTCTTAACCACTGAGCAATCTCTCCAGCCCCAACTTTAATTTTCTGTTTGCTTGTTTCTTGAGACAATGTCTCCCTGTAATCACAGCTGGTTTGGAACTTGCTATTTAGACCAGACCAGATCTCACAAAGCTCCATCTGCCCCTGCCCCCTGAACACTGGGATTACAAGCATGTACCACCATGCCCAGCTCTAACTGTAAATTTTGTTATTTTTGGTCTTTTTGAGACAGGGTCTCCCTGTAGTACCAGCTGGCCTGGGACTTGCTATATAGACCAGGCTGGAGTCAAACTCACAGAGATCCACCTGCTTCTGCCTCCCAAGTGCTGGGATTAAAGGTGTGCCCCACCACCAGCCACACCCAGTGGAAGTCAGAGAGCAACTTTCAGGAGTTGGTTCTCTCTTTCTGTCATATGGGTCCTGGGAATCAAACTCAGGTTGTTAGGCTTGCCAGCAGGGGCCTTTCCTGAAGCTGTACCATTTTATATTCTCACCAGCATTGTATCAAGGTTCCAACTTATCTATCATATTTCCCTCTTTATCTTTTTTTATTATAGCTGTCTTACTGAGTGTAAAATAGTATCTCATTGCTGATTTGATTCCCCTAATGATTAAAAATGCTGAGCATCTTTTCTTGTACTAGTTGATCATTGTGTATCTTCTTTGAACAAATGTCTATTCCAATCCTTCACCCTTTCCCCCCTTTAAAAAGTTTATTTTTATTTTATATGTATGAGTGTTTTGTCTGCATATATGTGTTTGACCCCCAATCTGGGGTACCCAACGTTCTCGGGAGGCCGCACCCCAATAACTCAGTCCCCAGACCAGGAGATGCAACAAGCAAGAGGATTTTATTGGGCGTCTGTGCAGACGGGCCTCTGCCTCACTCGGAAAGGAGAAGCCCCGAGCTCAGCTTACAGGCTGCTTATAAAGGTAAAAACCACAAACCACAAGCCAAGAAAAGCAGAATCAGGAGGGGGGATTTTTCGGGTGATTTCCAGCTTGGGCGAGGAGCATAAAAAGGTCAACTCTTTCTCAGCAGTTTAGAATTATTTTTCATTTTTACTTCCTTGTACAACTTTCTTTAGCCTGACTGGATTTGAATCCATCATTAATTCTTCATATGTATGTGTACCCACATGTGTGCCTGGTGCCCTTGGAGGCCAGGAAAGTGTATCAGATCCTCAGAACTGAAGTTACAGATGACTGTGAGCCACCTCATGAATGCTGAGAATGGAACCCAGGTCCTCTGCAAGGGCATTCAGTACTCATAACTGCTGAGCCATCTCTCCAGCCCTTCCTTTGCCTTATTTATTTATCTAATATTTATTTTGTTTTTTTGAGACAGGGTTTCCCTGTAGCGCTTTCAAACCATCCCTGTTTGGATTCACATTCTTTTTGCCTTTTATCTAATCTCTGGCGGAGTTTAGTCATAGAATCTCTAACAACCCCTGAGTTTTCAGCATAGAAACAGCATTCTTTGCCTAGAGCTGCACAGAGTCCTCCTGGGTTGGGGCTCTTTTGGTGTGGGAAGCATGGATCCAGGCCGAAATCCCGTCTACCTTGAGGGCCGTGGGTGTAGTCAGGAGAACCATGTAGGGTCCTTTCCACCGTGGTTCAAGGGTCTTTATGTTGTGTCTTCTCACGTACACCTGATCTCCAATTTGGTAGGAGTGAGGCGTTTGTGGACTACCAGGCCGGTAGACAGCAGCCAAGGGTCTCCAAACCTGGTTCTGGATTATCTGGAGAGCTTGGAGTCTTGTTTTAAGGCTGGGGTTGTCAAAAGAAGAGGGCAAGGGGGACAAGGTTACATTGAGGACAGGAGGCGGTCCTCCAAAAAGGATTTCATAGGGGGTTAAGCAGTGTATAGCAGGAGTATTTCTAGCCTGAAATAGAGCTAGAGGTATGAGCTGCACCCAGTCTTTAGTGCCAGTCTCTAGAGCTAATTTAGTTAAGGTCTCTTTAATAGTTCTATTCATTCTTTCTACCTGTCCTGAACTTTGGGGTCTGTAAGCACAATGTAATTTTCAATTAATCCCCAATGCTTTGGCCACTCCCTGACTTACCTGGTCGGCTGCGGTGGTGTTATTGAATGCTCCTAGTGTAGCTATGCCTTCGTAATAAGGGGGTGCTGCTGCTAAACACAGCCAGCAAGATTCAGTCAGGTTGGAGTCTGTCTGTATAATGGCCTTATATGCTCCTTGAATTAAATTGAACAGTCGGTCCCCCGTGGGTGAAACTTTTTGACTCGGGGGGCTGGAGGTCTGTTTTGACAGGATATTGGCGGGGGAAGTACCAGAAAAAGGGTTGGGGAGGTGCTGTGAGGTAACTTCAGGTATTAAGGCTGGCGGGGTATTTGGGTAGCTGGGGATGGGATTTTGGATAGGTAAGACAGGGTTGGGGCCTATAGCTATTGAATAGGAGGAGGTGTCTCTTTTAATAGTGAACAAGAGGCCAGGATCTGTTCCCTCCTTGTATATCCTAATTCCCCAAGAATGTCCCTTGTCCCAATCTGTGGCCTTCTTTCCTGCTGTTGTGAATTCTATCCGGAGGGGGTGGCACCATTTACCTTGACAGTCCTGATTAGGAACATTAGGGCTCTTATGAGAATAATTTGCTTTTACAGTGATGTAATCCCAGGATGAGGATGGGGACCACCAGGTGTCCCCAGTTGTTTTGCATCCCCAGTTTTTACAGTAAAAGTAGTCCCTCTCTCCACATTGGGAATTGAGCCGCTTATCTCTATGGTTACTTGGACAGACATAGAAGGTTAACAGACACAACATGGTTCGTTGTTTTTCACGACACCCTCCCCATGTTAAGTGGGGCCCTCCGAACAGAGGGTAAGCTTCCGGGCCGGGTATTTTATCAGGATCTGTGAAGTCTGGTATGTCCCAGGGCACTGGTGCTCCTTGGGTGCCATTTTGTGGGTTTCAAACACTACAATACCCATTTGATTAATTACCCGCCAGATGGTCAGCATAGGGAGATGGGGGCTTTCTTGACTGGGGACAAACCTACAAACAAGTAGAATCATTAGGTATCTCTGGAGAGTCTTATTTTTAGAGGGTTGGATGTCTTGTGTAGATGCCATTTTCCAGTGTCTTCCTGGGCCGGGGCTCTCTTGGCATGGGAAGCGTGAATCCAGGCTGAAATCCCATCTACTTTGAGGGCCGTGGGCATAGTCAGGAGAACCATGTAGGGTCCTTTCCACCATGGTTCAAGAGTCTTTACGTTGTGTCTTCTCACATACACCTGATCTCCAATTTGGTAGGAGTGGGGCGTTCATGGACTTCCAGGCTGGTAGACAGCAGCCAATGGCCTCCAAACCTGGTTCTGGATGATCTGGAGGGCTTGGAGTCTTGTTTTCAGGCTGGGGTTATCAAAAGAAGAGGGCAAGGGGGACAAGGTTACATTGAGGACAGGAAGCGGTCCTCCAAAAAGGACTTCATAGGGGGTTAGGCCATGTATAGCAGGAGTATTTCTAGCCCGAAATAGGGCTAGAGGTAGGAGCTGCACCCAATTTTTAGTGCCAGTCTCTAGAGCTAATTTGGTTAAGGTCTCTTTAATGGTTCTATTCATCCTTTCTACCTGTCCTGAACTTTGGGGTCTATAAGCACAATGTAATTTCTAATTGATCCCCAGTGCTTTGGCCATTCCCTGACTTACCTGGGAGACGAAGGCTGGGCCATTATCAGACCCAGTTACCTTAGGTAGTCCAAATCGAGGGAAGATGTCTTCAATCAGTTTCTTCACCACAGTCTGGGCTGTTTCCTTCCGGGTGGGGAAAGCTTCAACCCACCCTGAGAAAGTGTCTATAAACACTACGAGATATGTATAACCATATTTTCCTGGGAGTACCTCAGTAAAATCTACCTCCCAGTTAGTCCCTGGTCATGTTCCTCTTTTTTTCATGCCAGAAGGGACCTTTGATCTGGAAGCATTTACCAGGGAACATGAGACACAATCTTCCACTACCTTCTGGACTAGCTGGTTAGGGTCCGGGAAATAATAGAATTGTTCTTCTCTTTCTAGTAGTGTTTTTAGTTTCTTGTGTCCCAAATGTGTCCACTGGTGGAGTTGGGAGATTAGCTCAAGTGCTGCCTCCTGGGGCAGTATGGTTCGATTCTGATATCTCCACATCTTGGTTTCAGGATCCAAGGTAGCATTAAGCTTCCGAACAAGTTTCAGGTCTCGTTCAGTGTAGGTAAAAAGAGCTTCTCCCTCCTTTTCCTCAGCCTTAACCTCCCTTTTTTGTGTCTCAATTTTAGCCTTTAGGTCTGAATGACTGTATAGGACATGGGCGCTTTCTGCTGCCTGGCGGGTGGCTTCATCTGCCATTCGGTTGCCCTGGGCAATTGGTCCCTGGCCTCACTGATGCCCAGGGCAGTGGATGATGCTGACCTTTTTAGGCAGGTACAAGGCTTGCAGAAGGGCCACTATTGTTTCTTTGTTTTTAATGTCCTTGCCTGCTAAGGTGAGGAGCCCCCACCTCTGATAAATTTCTCCATGTACGTGAGCTGTGGCAAACGCATAGCGGCTGTCAGTGTAAATGTTGACCTTTTTGCCCTCTGCTAATTTTAGGGCCTGGGTTACAGCCTCTAATTCAGCCCGTTGGGCTGGAGTTCCGGCCGGCAGGGCTTGGGCCCAGATTATCTTCTCTCCATCAACGACCGCCGCCCCCGCCTTGCACTCACCGTCTCAAAGAAAGCTGCTCCCATCTGTATACCAAGTGGCATCTGCATCGATTAGGGGCTGGTTGGTGAGGTCTTCCCTAGTCCCATGCATCTCCGCAAGTATTTGTTGGCAGTCACAGCCCGTTGGGCCGATGTTCCAGCTGGCAGGGCTTGGGCCCAAATTATCTTTTTTCCATCAACCACCGCCGCCCCCGCCTTATGCTCACCATCTCTCAGAAAGCTGCTCCCATCCGTATACCAGGTGGCATCTGCATCTGGTAGGGGCTGGTCGGTGAGGTCTTCCCTAGTCCCATGCGTCTCTGCAAGTACTTGCTGACAGTCATGTGGAATCTCAGTGCCTTTCTCGGGGGTTGGTAGCAGCGTGGCGGGGTTTAAGATGGCAGGGCTACCAAACTTGATCTTTAATCTCAGTGCCTTTTTCAGGAGCTGGTAGCAGCGTGGCGGGGTTTAAGGTGGCCGGGCTACCAAACTTAATCTTTTCTGATTTAATAGTAGTGCCTGGTAATGGGTCACCCTGGCATTTGACAGTCATCTGTCAGGGGGCTGTCTAATGATGGACTCCACCACATGTGGTGTTATAACAGTCAAGGGCTGACCCATGGTGAGTTTGTCTGAGTCTTTTACCAGGGATGCTATCACTGCCATGATTCTCAAGCATGGGGGCCAGCCAGCGGCTACATTGTCCAGTCTTTTTGAGAGATAAGCCACTGGCCTTTTCCAGGGTCCCAAAGTCTGAGTAAGAACTCCTTTTGCCATCCCATTATTTTCATTAAAGGGTATAGGGGAGCCGCCATTTCAGTGAAACCTGGTATCCACAATCTACAGAAGCCTGCGCTTCCCAAGAACTCTCTGAGTCCTCTGGCTGAGGTTGGCAGGGGGATAGAGGCTACCACCTGTTTCCTACTTTCCGTTAGCCAACATTGCCCTCCCTCCAACCTGCAGCCCAAATAGGTCACCTGCTGTAGGCAGATCTGGGCTTTCTTTGCCGAGGCCCGGTATCCAAGTTCCCCCGGTCTCAATAGGAGAGCCTCCGTACCTTGCAGCCAGCCAGCTTCTGTCTCAGCCGCTAAGAGGAGGTCATCCACATATTGAAGAAGCATAATCTGTGGGTTTCTTACCCGAAAGTCAGCCAAATCATGATGTAGAGCTTCATCAAACAGGGTAGGGGAGTTCTTGAATCCTTGGGGAAGTCACGTCCAGGTCAGTTGCCCCGATATTCCAGCTTCAGGGTCCTTCCATTCAAAAGCGAAAATGGGTTGGCTAACCGGACTCAGTCTTAGGCAGAAGAATGCATCCTTCAGGTCAAGTACAGTATACCACCTGTGACTAGGAGGCAAGGAACTCAGGAGATTATAGGGATTAGGAACAGTGGGATGGATATCTTCTATCCTCCGATTGACTTTTCTTAAGTCTTGAACTGGTCGATAATCATCTGTCCCTGGCTTTTTTACGGGGAGCAGCAGTGGGGTGTTCCAAGGGGACTGACAGGGGTAGAGTATGCCTATTTGTAAAAGTCTTTGAATGTGGGGTCTGATTCCTTCTCGGGCCTCTCTGCTCATGGGGTATTGTTTGATTGAAACCGGGGTCGCAGATGGTTTCAGAGTGACCATTATTGGAGGATGATTGGATGCCAGCCCCGGGCCTCCTGTCTCAGCCCATGCCGAGGGGAATTTAATTAGCCAATCAGATATACCAGGAGTCCCTGCTATCGGTCCTTCATATAACCGATGTTCATCTTCCAGTCGCAGGGTTAACGCGTGTAGTGGAGCTCCATCTTTTCCTTTAAAGATGGCTCCTTTTCTAGTGACGTGGATGTGGGCTCCCAGCTTAGAGAGTAAATCTCTCCCAAGAAGGGGATATGGGCAGTCGGGGACCAGCAAGAACGAGTGGGAGACTTGTCCCGTGCTGAGGTCCACTTTTCTTTTTGTGGTCCATCTGTATGTTTTTCCTCCAGTGGCCCCCTGGACCCAGGCTGTTTTGGAACTCATGGGCCCTTCGGTTGAGGTCAAGACCGAATGTTGGGCTCCTGTGTCTACTATGAAGGTAGTCAATTGCCCCCCTACCTTTAAAGTTACCCTGGGCTCAGGGGGGAGCTCCTGACCCCGACTCCCCTAGTCCCCTAGAGCCAGGACTGGGGTTGTCTTCTTTTGAAGTCTGTTCAGCTTCTTGGGACATTCTTGAGCCCAATGTCCTCTCTCCTTGCAATAGGCACACTGGTCTTTATCCACTCAGGGCCTTCTTTTGTCTCTCAGGTCCCTACCTGGTCCTGCTCCCTGGACTACTGTGGCCAAAATTCGACTTAACTCTTTATTTCTCTTTTTCTCTCTCTTATCCTCTCTAGCTTCCTTTTCTTTTCTGATTCTGTCCTCTCTTTCTTCTAATGTCTCTTGCCTATTATAGATTCTCTCAGCTTCTCTTACTAAATCCTGTAAGGAGTACCCCAAAGGCCTTCCAGCCATTGGAGCTTACCACAAATGTCAGGAGCTGATTGTCCTATAAAGGCCATAATAAGATCTGCCTGATGCTCCTGGGCTATGGGGTCAAAAGGGGTGTACATCCGATATCCCTCTATCAAGCATCTTAGAAACCCTGCGGGGGTTTTATTTTCTCCTTGGGTTATAGCACGTACCTTTGCCAAATTGGTTGGGTGCCTTCCGGCCCCTTTGAGACCCACTATTAGAGTCTGGTGATAAAGATGGAGATGCTCCCTACCGGCCAGGGTCTCGTGGTTCCAGTTGGGTCTGGTCAGAGGAAATCCTTCGTCTATTCCATTTGGGAGCTGAGTAGGTCTCCCATCCTGCCTGGGATGTTTTTCCGAGCTTCTAGGATGACTCGCTGTCTCTCTTCTGTGGTTAAGAGCGCCTAGAGGAGTTGTTGACAATCCTCCCAGGTGGGTTGGTGGGTGAGGAGGATAGACTCTATTAAAGCAGTTAGAGCCTGAGGGTCCTGAGAAAAAGAGGGGTTATGGGTCTTCCAATTATACAAGTCAGAGGCTGAAAAAGGCCAGTACTGGATCTGATCCCCTACGGTTCAGAGGGGAAAAACCTGGGCAGTCCAGGTTCCATCAGAAGGGCCCCCTCTATCCCTCCTCAAGCGGAGTCTGCTAGACGGAGGGGGGGATTGGTCGGGTTCAGTAGAATTGGGAGAGGGATGAGGTAGTTCTTGGGGTCGAGGTGCTTGCACAGGTGGATAGGGAGGCAGAGGATCGAGGAGGGTTAGGGAGGCTTGGTCCTCAGGGAGGACTGGCTTCTGCCTCTTCTTCTCAGGGGAAGACTGAAGGGGCAGGAGGGAAGAAGTGAGATTCGGGGGAGCTGAAGGGGTAAGGGGCCCTTGATCAGTCTCTCTGGTTCCCTGAGGAGGTAGGAATGGCCGTGCCCAAGGTGTGGGGTTCCGGGCCAAGTCTTCCCAGGTGACTATACAGTCTACCTGATCCGGGTGTCCATGTGGTCCTGGGTAGAAAATGTATTCCTTAACCTGTAAGATAGTAGCAAGGTCAAAAGTCCCATCCCTTGGCCATCCTTTTTCAAAAGAGGGCCACTCAGAGGAACAGAGACTCTGCCACTTCTTCTTTCGGACCTCCACTGATAAGTTGTGGGCCCATTCCACGACCTCCTTCCAATATTCCAGAGTTAAGCTTAAAGGGGTAGTTAGTGACTGACCCATGGTGGAGGTTACAGAAGAAAGAGAGAGAGAGAGAAATGAAGATGCCACTCCAAATAATGATGACCAGTGGGTGTGCTTGTGGACGAGTACTTATCGTTGCCCAGTTTTTCTTCTGCGGGGGACGCGAATTTATCTGGGATTCATGCCTGGGACCCCCTTATCCTTTCATGGGAGTCTTTTGGCAGCGAGCGCCCTATGGCTCTTATTTGCTCGACCCGTGCCCATGGGGCTTTTTCAGTGGCTGGAGAGAGGAATGGAGAGGAGAGGGAGATACAGAAAAGCTGTCTTGTCTCCACCCATGCGGGCAGTTGGGGTCCACTAAAAGGGCTAAGAGCCTTTGGCTTACATCAGGGAATGGCCCTGACCAGAAAACCTCAATTGCTCTTTCGCCTTTAACGGTCCCACGCAAAGACTTAGGCCGAGAACAAAAGGAAAGAGAAGGAGGAAGGGAAGGTTTAAAGTAGAGAGTGTAGAGAAAAATACAAAACCAGACCTTCCCCTTTTAAGACATTAACATAGCCATCAAGTACATACACATCACATTGAATCACATTCGTGTGGACCGGTTCTTCTTACACTCAGACACACACTGCACTCACTATTCCCACTTTCAGGATCCTCAAGCACAAATACAGACAACACAAAACAAAAATCCTTGGCGCGTGCTCCCTGACTCACAAACTGAAAGTACAGATCGGGAGGGGAGCAGCCAAGCCAATCTCCCTTCTCCTGGGGTGAGGAAAGCTACGCTGTCCTCCCCACTCCAGATCACTCTGGTCACTAAGGTCAGAGTGTCGGAACCAGGGGTCTCTGGGCACGTCTGCCACTCCCGCTGGTTCCCAGAATACAGATTTACAGGTCCTGTACAGGCACAAATGTTCAGACAGAATGTTCCCAGAACAGGAAATAACTGACAGACATTAAGACCAAGACAAACCACAAGATGTCTGTCCTTACCTCCTGCTGATCTGAGGAAATGGGTCTGGGGGCGACCGAATCCCGGACGAGCCCCCAAATGTTGGACCCCCCGGTTTGGGGTACCCAACGTCCATGGAAGGCCGCACCCCAATGACTCAGTTCCAAGACCAGGAGATGCAAGAAGCAAGAGGATTTAATCGTTTGCGCAGACGGGCGCTCCTGCCTCACTCAGAGAGAGAGAGAGAGCAGCAGCAGCGCAGACGGGCCTCTGCCTCACTTGGAAAGGAGAAGCCCCGAGCTCAGCTTACAGGCTGCTTATAAAGGCAAAAACCACAAACCACAAGCCAAGAAAAGCAGAATCAGGAGGGGGGATTTTTCGGGTGATTTCCAGCTTGGGCGAGGAGCATAAAAAGGTCAACTCTTTCTCAGCAGTTTAGAATTATTTTTCATTTTTACTTCCTTGTACAACTTTCTTTAGCCTGACTGGATTTGAATCCATCATTAATTCTTCATATGTATGTGTACCCACATGTGTGCCTGGTGCCCTTGGAGGCCAGGAAAGTGTATCAGATCCTCAGAACTGAAGTTACAGATGACTGTGAGCCACCTCATGAATGCTGAGAATGGAACCCAGGTCCTCTGCAAGGGCATTCAGTACTCATAACTGCTGAGCCATCTCTCCAGCCCTTCCTTTGCCTTATTTATTTATCTAATATTTATTTTGTTTTTTTGAGACAGGGTTTCCCTGTAGCCCCAGCTGGCCTTGAATTCACTATGTATACCAGGCTGGCCTTGATCTCACAGAGATCTGCCTGCTCCTGATTCCTGAGTGCTGCACTTAAAGGTGTGTGCCACCACACCTAGCTTTTTAAAAAAATTATTTTTCATTTATTTATTTATTTTTGTTTTATTCATATGAGTGTTTTGCCTGCATGTATGAAAAAGCACTCATGTCGTTTAATGCCCATGGAGGCCAGAAGAGGGCATTTGATCCCTTAGAACAGGAATTACTGACAGTTGTTAGCTGCCTTATGGGTGCTGGGAACTAAATTCAGGTCCCCTGCAAGAGTAGTCAGTGTTCTTAATCTCTGAGCCATCTCTCCAGGCCCTACTCTTTTTTTTTAATTTATTATTTTTATTTTATGTGTATGCATGTATTGCCTACATGTAGGTAAGTGCACCTGTGTTGTGCAACGCCCGCAGAGGTCAGAAGAAGCTGTCGGATCCCCTGGGACTGGAGATACGGACAGTTGTTAGCTGCCATGTGGGTGCTTTTTGTTTTTTTACCAAAGGCTCACTCTAGAGCCTCCCAAAGCTTGTCACTACATTGAGGGGTCCTGTCTTCTTCCCCCACAGTGAATCCTGAACATTCTGAGAAAAATCTGTTTGTCGAATAACTCTCTTTTAAAAAATATTTTATTTCTTATTTTTATTTATGTGTATGAGTGTATTGCTTGCATGTATGTAAGTGCACACATGTCATGAAAAGCCTGAGGAGGTCAGAAGAGGGCATTGGATGCCCTGGAACTGGAGTTTATGGACTGTTGTTAGCCCCTATGTGGTGCTGTAATTCAAACCTGGGTCTTCTGCAAGTGCAGCCAGTGCTCTTAACTGCTGAGCCATCTCTCCACCCCCACATCTCTCTTTTTTAGCAAATATTCTTATATACATTCATTTATTTCTTCATTCAAATAAATACCACATTTTCTGAGGACCAATACGTATCAGATTTCTAATAAACCTTGGTGCTGAATTCTGTCCGAGATAATTTGCAACACAATTCTGTAGATGTTATCGTATGCCTCCCAGTGGGAGGTTAAAATGGCTCATCAGCAGAGCCCTGTAGAGATATAGGCAAGAAGGTTTTAACTAATGCTGCAGAAAGAATAAAGGGGGTTTTGTGTGTGTGTGTGTGTGTGTGTGCAAAGGAAAAAGTCAAAGTATTATACAAATTAAACCTCTCATCAGTCAATGTGGTACAGAAAATGCTGCTCACATCAAATATGAAGACAGCTAAAGGAGAGACTCCAGAGTTTGCAGGGCAGAGTACACAGAAGGAAGGTCATTTCCCAAGACTAAGTAACACTGGAGCCTTTTATCATGTACTGACCAGGCTAGTAATAAACTTGGTTGAATCTTTACTTGATGTAATCATTCAGAAATTATACATTTAGGGATGGAGAGATGGCTCAGAGCATTTACTGCTCCTGTAGAGGACCTGGGTTCAGTTTCCAACATCCATATCAGGTGGCTCACAATCACCTATAACTCTAATTCCAGGGGAATTTGATGCCCTCTGCAGGCACCTGCACACATGTGGTACACATAAACTCACACAAGCACACACACATACACATGAATAAAAAAATAATAAATCTTTAAGAATACATTTAGAAAATATCACTGCATTTTTTTTTCCTCCCACTGTTCTGGGGATAAAAAGATAAAGCCCAGAGCTATCACCCCTTACCAGCTTTGCAGATAACACAGGCATTATGTGAGAAGTCACCTTGCATCCTGGCCAGACCTGTAGGAGCAAGAATAGGACACATGGCTGAAAGTCAGTACTACACTATACAAGAAGATAAGTGAATAGAAAACTCACCTTAGTCATGTACAGCTAAAGAATTTCACCATTCTACAATGAAGAGAAAGTGGAAGTGAACACCAGAAACTTCTACCTGTCATTTATCGTTTCTTGCTTGTAGTTTGTGTTGACCACATATGAAAACTTTTCCACACAATGGGATTCAGGTATGTGGTTTGTCATTTTTGCTGCTTTACTGAAGTCTAGCTCTGAAATGATTAGCACTGTCTGTTTGATAGGCTCTGGAATCACCTAGGCTATGACAAGCCTTTAGACACGCCTGTGAGGGGGTATTTAGCTTCTGGGCATGCCTATGAGGAACTATGTTGATTACATTAACTGAGGTAGGAAGATACTCATTAAACATAGGCAGCACCATTCCCTGGGCTTGGGTCCTCAGCTATTTAAAAGGAGAAAGCTAGCTAAGCACAAGTATTCATCACTCTCTGCTTCCTGTTGTAGATGTGACCAGCTGCTTTAAGTTCTAGATGCCATCGCTTCCCTGCCAGGATGGACTGTGAGCTGAAACAAACTCTTTCGGCCTTGAGTTGCATTTGTCAGGGTATTTTATCATACCAACAAGGAAAGAAAATAAGATGTGTTGAGGACGTGTTCTCCTTCCAGCTAAACCTGTGGGTCTAGTGGAGCATATCAGAAACAATAAAAATTCTGGCACCTGGCATAGCTTATTTCTAGTCCATCAAAGATGTGAGACTTACTAGAATCATATAGTATGATACAGTAACAATTACTTTTTTCAAATGACTGAGTTTAAGATAAGAGTGCTAAATAGAATATTAACATAGCCAGAAGGAATAAATATTAGGACACAGTGCTGATAATAGAGTCATATATGAAGTAATTTGGGTATTTGTTTGCTTGTTTTTGTTTTTGAGACAGGGTGGTTTTCCTGTAGTCCCAGTTGTCCTGGGACTTGCTATGTAGACTAGGCTGACCTCAATCTCACAGAGATCCACCCGTCTCAGCCTCTCAAGTGCTGAGTAATTTGTTTTTTTTTTTTTTTTTTTTCCAATTTTATTTTTTTTTTTACTGAGGCTGGAGAGATGGCTCAGCATAGTTAAGAGCACTCGTTACTCTTGCAGAGGACCTAGGTTTGATTCCCAGCACCCATGTGGTAGCTAACAACCATCCATAACTCCAGTTTTAGGGGATCTGACTCCCTTTTCTGACCTCTGCAGACATTGCATGACATGAGTGCACTTAAACACATGCAGGCAATACACTCAAGACACATAAAATAAAAACAATAAATAAAATATTTTTTTTAATTTTATTTTTATGCTGGGTGTGGTGGTGCATGCCTTTAATCCCAGCACTTGGGAGGCAGACGCTGGCAGATCTCTGTGAGCTCAAGGCCAGCCTGGTCTACATAGTGAGTTCCAGGACAGCTCGGGCTACAGGGAGACCCTGTCTCAAAAAGACCAAAAAAAATTTTTTTTTATTTTGTGTGTATGAGTGTTTTGCCTGCATATTT